AACCAGGTGGGGTTGAACCCTAGACCTTCTCCTGGTGACCTATGGAGCATTACCACTATGCTATAGACCCATAGGTCATAAAGTTTTGATTTGTATTTTAATATGAAATTAATAAGTTGTTATCAATATAAGTAATTAGTTATTTCTTTTAATATTAAATATAGCATTGTTAATTTTTTTTGCTTGATTTTTAATTTAATTATATCTTCTTGAAATATTTGTTTATAAAGTTTTTAATAATATTATTAAATTCTTTTTAAGATGTTGGAGAAAAAATATTAAGTTAAAGTTTTATATCTTTGATAAATTTAATTGGATTTTTTAAGTATTTATTTAATATTGAATTTGAAAATTGTTTTGAATTTTTTAAATTTGAATCAATTTAATTTAATAGAAACAGATTAATAATTGATTTGAATAACATACTTGCTAACTTTAAATTAGATAATCTTGATTGCTATATTTTTGAAAAATCCAAACTTGATTAATTTTAAAACTATTTATTTAAATTGTTTTTAAATAAGTAAATAATTTTCTTAAATTTTTATTAAATTAAAATAAAATTTTTTATTTTTTAAAATATAAATTTAACTTTTGATATATTTTTTAAATATTTTTAATATATTGAAATAAAATATTAAATTATATTAAATTATATATATAATTTTAATTAATTAATTAATTATATCATTAAATTTAATATTATATAAATAAATAAATATTTTTTTATTTTTATTATAAAAAATTAATTAATTTAAAATTTTAATATAATCAAAACTTTAAGATTAAATTAATATAAGCAAAATTTTTTAAAAAAGTTTAAAAAATATATTATATTAAAAAAAAAACTTTTCAAAATAAAATAAAAAATAATAATATTTAAACTTTAAAAAAACTTTTTAAATTTTATATTTTTGGACAAGAAAAAAATATTTTTTAATATTTTTTTTTTTTTAAAAAAAGTTTCTTATTATAAATTTTTCAAATATATATTTGTATAATATTTTTTTATTAAATTATAAAAAATTTTTTGAAAAAAAAGATAAAAGAAAAAAGAAAAGATAGTTGTTTTTAAAAAATATGTATAATTTATTATTAAAGAATATAAAAATATTTGTTTTTTAAATTGACAAGAGATTAATAAAAAAAAAACCATAATTTTATAATTTTTATATAATTTTATTGGTCAAAGTTAACTAAATCCTAATAAGAGTATAGACAAATCTCTTTGATCTTATATCCATTATATAAATTATATAAACTGAGAAATAAAATGACGATAATAAATTGCCGTGTAATCTTTTCCAATTTCAGTAAGTAGTAATTGTATAGTAAGGAATCCTATGGAAAGACTTTGTGTTACCACTATAGGTGGCCTTATGATCTAAACAAAACTTCATCACCGTACTATAAAATCCGCAAAATTTCTCCTTATGAATCGAAGTTCGTGAATTTTTTATTCAAAACGCGAGAAAGAAAGAGAAGAATGGACCTTCCATGTCTTACTGATTCGTATTCAAAAAATAATGTAAAATTTTAATGAGACAATATAACAATAAAAAATGTCCGGATAATAAATATGTAAATATGGGTAATTAAATAAGATTTTTCGGTCACTATTTTAAAGGTAATACGTATACAATGTAAATTTTAGGATAACCGCCTTCGAAAATAATTACCCATATTGGATGAAAGAACAAGCGATTTTCAAAGAGCAAAGGACCAGGTAATCACAACGAATGGATTATAATTACACAGTCAATCTTAAGCTTTCATATACATATGCAGCCTGGATTTACATTAATGATCATTACAAAGCCTTGTTGCCTTTTATTCTGATTGTTATCATTGTTATGCGGACAATGTTTTCTTATTCAAAATATTCTGGATAAGGAAACTATAAATGTACAGAGTGTTGTGAAGATTCAGGTGATCTTTTAGGGTACATTATTTCGCAGATCTATTTATATCTTATTTATGTCGTGGGAAATTTCTGTTTCTTCATTTCACCAAACTAAGAGTTTTGTGACAGATTTTATGATTGTACGCTCCGTGGCCCAATGAATTGCTTTACAATAATACACAATACTGATTGAGAGATATTTAAGCTAGCTAGCCTAACTAATGTTCTTTTATTTGCGAAGAAAAACCATGTTTATGTTCGATAAAAGTAATAATTAATACGGGTGGTTGTAAAGACGAATGTCTTTTAGAGCAAAGGTTTTACTTTCTCTTAAAATAAAATTCTTGACTGCGCACACTAAGGCTCAATATTTCATAAGATGCAAGAGAATATTAACTCCTTAAAATTTAAAATTAGGTGGCAGAAGATTCACTTACTACTACGTCAAAGGCCTTGTCACAAATTTCGCAAAATTTTTCAGCAAAAAAAAAAAAAAAAAGCAACGACCAAAGAACATAGTGACCTTTAATTTATTATGTCGGTGGTGAGTTTTCAAAATAACACGTAAAATGTTAATTGAATTTCACGTGATTATAACTATACGAATAACCAGCAACTTTATCCATATAACTCAAGAGTGTTGTAGACGAGTCAGAGTACAATAAGTATATTAAAAGAGTCGAAGATATACGGTATTGCAGAGATTGCGAGAAAGAAAGAATCAGCTATGGGTGGTGCAAAGATTGCCAAACAGAATACCTGAAAAGAAACTTTGCAGAATGGTCAAGCGGACATGCAACAATAGATAAATTGATCCAGCATACTCAAATCAATGCAACACAAACATGCGATTATCTAGAATGGATCGATTTTAAGGAATTCGAATTAGTTGAGTTTGTCGCTGATGGAGGATTTGGTACGGTTTATAAAGGTGAGTGGCTAAGAGGACCTCGTTGGAATTGGGACGAAAATGATCAGATGTGGTGTCGTAGTGGTCCTATGACCATTGCACTAAAAAGACTCAAGGATTCGCAAAATATTTCATCGGATTTCTTAAAGCAGGTAAATTAAAAAATTTGTGAACCTGATCGTTATCATTTTTCACGAATTTACCAATATTCTAATGTTTAATTTTTTGCAGGTGGAAACACATTATCGTTGTTTACAGAGCGGTTCTCTTGCCGATTGTTTCGGTATAACTCGTGATGAGACTGGTGCATACATGTTCGTTATGAGATTTTATGAGAATGGAAACTTATACCAGTATCTGGATAAGTCTAATGGCGTTATGAGCTGGAGAGATATGGTAGATATGCTTTGGGGTGTTGCAGGAGGACTTGAAAGAATTCATTCTGAGGGCCTTTTTCATTCCAACCTTCACGGTGGTAATTTACTTATTGAAGACGAATCCGTGTCTACGGACGCTCGTATTGCTGACGTTGGACTTCACGGTCCAGCAAATGAACCAAGTTCTTCTCAGATATATGGTGTCTTGCCATACATTGCTCCCGAGGTTTTACTTGGTAAGGCGCCCAACCAAGCCTCTGATATATACTCTTTTGGTATTATAATGCACACACTTGCAACTGGAAAGAGACCATGGTCGGATCGTCCACATGATTCTAATCTTGCTAGAGAAATCTGTATAAATAATTTACGCCCGGAGATCGACGACATAATTGACGAGATGCCACAAGATTACTATAAATTGATGATAAAATGTTGGGATGCAAACCCTTCGAAACGGCCAACTGCATCGCATTTAAACGAGTTATTGGGCGAATGGATTACTTCTATCTGTGATGACCCAAATCCGTCACCAATTGCCAACCAGTTTACTCAAGCTGAAGAAAAGAGATGGGACTTAATCGGAAGACAGATGACCCGAACTCATATGCCAAAAGTCCATCGAGAAGCATTCTATATAAGCAGATTGATTGATTTTTTGGATTTCTCTTAAAACATGTTGAGTAAGTTTCCTTGGTTTTTTTAAAATCACAGATAAAGGTTATGTGTCATAACTGATTGTGCGCTATACGTTTAGTTTTACCTACACTTGGAAAGTAACCACGGAAGTACCTTCGAAACTGAAAACTTCTCCCAACGAAAACCCTACCTAGCGACCGGCCGATACGACATTTCTTAGCTACAAAAAGAATCTTGCCCCTTAAAATTCCGCGCGATGACCAAAGAGTTAAATTGAGAATTAAAATCAAGTTTAAATGACAAAGTATTCACAATAAGCTTTATACCCATATCTGTATTATTCTTCCCTTTTTTACTACAGCATTGAACAGTTCTGTTTCGCAATAAGTATAATTCGTCAAAACGAAAACTATCATTGAAAATTTATGGTCTATTTTCCTGGAGGATATTAAGATTTACACTATTTATTATATTATGAACTCATTTTTTTTTTGTATTTTTTTTTTTATATTAAATTAAAATAAATAAAATAATTTGCATAAATTATTATTTTTTTTTTTATGGTTATTTTTATATGGGTTGGTACACAGCAAAACCATGCTTTGAAAGGTTTTAACAAAAATTGAAATTTTTAGTGGATTATACTTCCAAGAATGTCCTTTATCTGTGATAAAAGTTTGGATATATTGTATATTAATATATTATAATTTGGTACAATCTCGCGCGCAGTTTTTTAATTTTATATGGCTCGATATATAAATTTAAATTGATAATCGTCGATATCCCAAATAAGAATTTTGTCTCAGAGCATGGTTTTGCTGTGTACCAACCCATATTGTAAATATAAATTAAAAATAAAAAATTTGCATTTAATCTTCCATACGAGTTTAATCTACCTATATGGTTGAAAGAATCTAACCTCAGTTTAAAGAACGATTATTCTATTTGTGCATTCAGATTTATGGCTGTTTCTATTAATGATACAGTGTGAAGCAAAAAAAAAACAAAAATTTTTGACCTATATTTTTATTAATAAATCAATATAGAATTATTTAAATTTTATTAAATTTTATAAAATTTTATCTAATTATATGTCTAGTTACATGAGAGCTTATTATCTTTGGTCTATCTGAACATGGAGCAACAATAATTCTTTCAAATTTTTCATATACATTAACTATGCTTGTTACTGTTATTCTTGATCAATTTAAAGTTGTAGCAATATCTTTATATATAAAATCAGCTTTAAAAAAATCGATTATCTCACCACATTTGAAATTTGTTATCTGATTATTTTTGGATGATTTTTGTGAGTTTGACATTGAAATTAAAAAATTTTCACATATACGTTTAAAAGATATTCTTTAATAGTATAATAAATTTTTTATTTACTGCTATATTTGTTACATAATTGAAATTTGAAGTTGGGCAAAACTTTATTATGTACTACTGTTAATTATTTTGGAACGTCCACCGTACAGTATCATTATTACAGATCAAATTGGGTTTGGGTTACGCAATCAGTAGAAATGCTGCACAAAAGTCTTCGTTAAACTCCGGATATGTTTTGTACATTCGATAAAAAAATACCCATAGTGCATATTATTCCTCATTTTGAATATCCTTTAGAAGGATTAAAAATCACATAAAAACCTATTATATATTCCTCCTAAAATTTCATCTCAAAAAATTGGCGAGTTATGATTTTGGGATATACGTGATTATATCGGATACTTTTTTTTTGGGATATTCCCTTCATTCTGTTTTAAGATGTCCTTAAGTAAAATAGATTCAGGAAATACGGAGTCACGACAAGGAGTTCAAAATTATATAAGGTTTATGCAGCTCTCGGGTTCTTCAAGTAGACCTTTCCCGATTCAGAGGGAAGACTTGCAGAAATATATTCAAATCTTAGTTAAAAAAGGCGTAAAACCTGAGACTCTGAAAAGATATGTAGGACATATTAAATCTCATAATATCGTTACCGAAGGTATTTGGAATTATGGTGAATTTAATCCCCTCATAAAACGAGGTTTGGATCAATTAAATGCAAACGGAGGCCAGTCTGCTGAAGGTGAAATTTTAATGTTCTAAGCGTTATTTCTTCTGTATTAATGATATATTAATAATAGTCTATCACTTTATAACTTATTAGATATTTCTCGAAATGGAACGAATGAGCAGTTACATGCCAGTGATTTGCGTAATGTTCCTCCTGATATGTCGAACCAAATTCATCCTCAAACATATGCTGGAACTATTCTCCCTCAGCCTGGACAAGAACTTGACAGCCTTATGAACTGGGGTTTTCGGTCTGACCAGAATCTTTGTGAAGGTGGTCTAAATGGGCAACTGCCCGTAAGTAATTTCAATACCCAAAACTCCTCAGGAAATACCTCCCCTCATCCCGAACAGGAACTTGTTGACCTTATGAACATCGAAAACTGGGATTCTCAACATGATCAAAACCTTCGTGAAGGTGACACGTCAATGAATAATTCATACACAATTCTTTCTGGAATGCCATGTAATGCTTGCTCTCAAACATGTTCAGGAGATGCTTCTCTTCGACCCGAAGAACTTACCAGTCTTATGACTATCACAGAAACTTTAAATGAACATAATGCTTGTGATGATGTATCTCGATCTGGTACTGAAATTTAATACAGTATATTGATCTGATTTTACCTCGATAAAATTCAATATTAAAATTCTTTACCTGCTATTAGAGAAGTTGAACAGACTTTACGATTTGTTTGAAAAAACAGTGGAAATGTATGCTGAGTTAAGATTGGAATTGCTCGATATAATGAATAGCTATGGATCTGGTAATACAATCCCATCTTTTTGATGTATGTGCAAAGATAAATTTGACAATGTATTTGACTAATTAGTATCTCATTAGGAGATCGGACTCTTGCTATTCTAGAATATGATAGCCATCTCCGGAAAGTCGAAAAACAGATTTCTTGTTTACGTTTAGAAGCAAGAAAATTACAAAATTCTATGTAATGTTTTATATTATGTAGAAATCTGAAGTATCATAGTTTCATGAACTAAGGCAGAGATGCTTCATCGGGTCCTTTAATGTTTTTTCCTTTTCTTCTTCTTTTCGCTATTATTTATTTTATTTTATTTTCTTATTCGTTTTATTTTCTTTTCTCGTTCTTTCATTTTCATTTTATTAATATTAATTTTTATTATTATTTTATATTATTTATTATTATTGTTTCTTTCTTTTTTTTCTTTTTCTTCCCTTTTTAATCAATTAATTATCGTATATATTTATTTATTGCTTCTTTTTTTTACACCATCTCTAAAATTAGACAACCGCTGTAAACAAAATTAATGTAAAATAATACATGTTGCTTTTACACTACTAATACTACGTGAGAAAATTCTGGGGAGATATTATAAATTCTGTGACTTGAGAAATTTTCTACAAGGAAACTTGGACATTTGTATTTTAGCTCACCGATCAAGCTTTGAAAATTTTAAATCAAAATTTTTGCACTCTGAACCTTTTCCATGTAAAGAGAATATAAAATACAGTACAGTATGCAGTGCTTTGTCACCGATTATTTTATTAATTCATTATTTCATTTACGGCTAGAATACTTCTGTTAAATTTTAAAATTTTCCTGATAGAAAAAAAATATTTTTAAAAATAATAGTAAGGTTAATTTTTTCTACTACTGTATATTGCTGATAAGGTAAAGCTTAATGATTTTTTATGTTTAACATAGAAATTTGAATTGGATGATTTTTTTTAAAGAAATTTATTTAATAAATTAATGATATAAATATTATTATTATTACTCGTAATAAGATATTTTCTTTTTATTATAAGAAATTGATTGGAATAATTGATAGTGTAGCGGTGGGAAACGGTGAGTCTGTCGCTTGTACACAGGTCTGGTCGCGGCATGTCACACAGCAGCTAAGTAGGTCCATCTTCGATTATTTATGCCAGCACCAACACTCTTTTCTTCTTATCTTGACCGATCTTTGTCCGTAGTTCACGTGATCAAGGGCGAAACTAAAGTAGAACACTAGAAAAATAGAACACAAAGGGATTTATCATACAGATAAATTTGACAACGTAGGATGATCACTTTTCTTCCTAATATGAATACATTATACATGTTTTCAAATTGTTCCAATTATCTTCTTTATCCTAATTATTCTCTTTATCCCACTTATTCTCATCACGATACCCGGTATAGCATCGCGTGAAAAATTACTATAACGATAGAATTGATAATAATAATAATATATTTGAAAATTGATTTCAACTTTTTAAATGATTCCGTATAAGAATTATTTTTTATTGTTTTTTAAGAATATATTAGAAAAAATAATATGTGCTCAAAGGTATTTTGGAGTTATTAATGTAAAAAAATTTTTTTAATAAAAATCAATTAACGAAAAAGATTTTTTTAAAAAAAAAAATGATTTAATTAAGTCAAAATTAAATTATGTAAATTTTTTATCGATTTTATATAAAAATTTTAAAAAAGAACAATAAATAATAGTTTGTGGTTTTAAAAATATGCATTTATTTTTTCAAAAATGATTATAAATTTGGATTAATTTATATTAAAAAATTTTTTTTGAAAATATCATTTAATTTTAAAATTGAATAAAATAATAGTATTAGAAACACGTTTGAACTTTGTTCATATATTATGTACAAAATTAATTTCCATCTGACTTTGTTTTAGCATATGCTATTACGTATGATTATTTCGGTTCTATCCGTCTGTACACAACATAAAATCACACCATATGGTGCACACCTGGTCACCTGAAATAATACTTATCTATACCATTGGGTTTCTTTATGCCGTAATGTGATTTTTTTCTATTATACTGTATATTGCAAATACGTATAGATTGACCATCGTATAAGACATATCGTATTTTTACAAGTACCTAGAAATGGCCCTAAGTATCTTTTCTTTCCCTTATTTGTTATTCTTTAACCATAATGGCCTTAACGATATCGCATTTTATCTTGAGAAAGTTAATCTCTACTTTCATTTTCGAAGAATATTTTATTAAGAGTGTGTGATTTGATTTGATATCTTCATTTCTTCGGTCCGCTAAAGGAAATTCTTAACTAATCACGATCATTGATCTTCAGGACTCGTCCGACTTTAAATTTATCGACGCCATACTTCTCAAAATTCCATAAAAAGTAACATCTATGCAAATTGTGCGACAGAAATTGAAGTACGTACAGAACTTAATTTTCGAAATAAAGTATTTTTGATAGTGTCCATTAGTTATCTGATCAATCAATCCTTATATTTTTAAAAATGGTCGATTATTATGAGAAGGTAACCAATTAAGTCAAATATTTTATTTTAACGTATGACCGTTACTATAAAGTTTGTTTATACTGTATTTTTTTAATTTTCGGTTTGCTTAGATAACAATTTATTAAAGCGATTACTTCGAGAAACCTCATTGAATTAATGTTAATAAAAAAAAATTAAAATGACGTTATGTTAACTGAAATAATAATATCTCTTAAGAGACATATTAATTTATCTTATTTTCTTTTTTAAAGTATTGATTATTAAATTAATTCCAACCAATTATAAACAAAATTTTCTATAGCTAATTTCGAAAAAAAAAAAAAATCCCCAAAATAATCGATTTTTTATTTATAGCTATTGGTGTGTTTAATTGTTTTTTTAATTAATAAAAAATATTTACGTTCGAAAAAGGAATTATGAGACTTAATTGAGCATCAATAAATGTCAGTTTAAGGTTTATACAAGGTTGGCATTCATGTATGAAATTAATATTAACTTCATTGAAGGTCCCTATCTTTTTATATTACGTTATTCATTAAAATATTTAACTGCATATTAGCTCCCTTGTTGTTGCTTTTTATATACATTAAGGTATGTAGCGTCCAGCGCACAAAAAAATTTATTATGAAAATATATACAGTACGTACTACGACCTTCATGATCGGGAGAATATTGGTGTGTAATACGTCGCTACGTAATTATTTAAACCTCTTGTTAGCTTTTGGAACCCTCCCTCCCCTTTTATATTTGCACGTTCAACTGTTGAGAAAATATTATTTATTTAATATTTGTTCACGAAGGGAGAGGAAAAGGACGATGAATCACCTAAGCTATTATTAAATGATCGCAAACTGGAGAAAGGTTACCCAGCATCCAACACTCGAACCTACCGAGTGGGGTAACGAATCTATTAACGTCATAAAGTGTAGAGTTTACATCCTGTCGATTACGCTCTCCATAAATTTGATCTTAAAACATGACTGATATGAGCCCAGATCTTTAGAATAATATTTAAGCACGGTTCGAGTCTTTAACTTTGGTGTTTAGCCACTATTTGGATGGTTTAAAGTTCATCCAATAATCAAGAAGTATTGGATGGAGATATCATCGTATTAACTTTTAATCCTCAGGTTATCCTTGAATGAAAATGCGACTGGTGTTGAAGAAATCATTCCTATTGATTAATACGGAAACATTAATGGTAAATCTTTATTTATTTACTGTAAACATATAACTGAAAGCTTCCATCCTGTCAGAAAAAAAATCAATAATGTAATAAAGCATCATAACAATTTTGGAACAGTACACAGTAACCATCACTAAACTTTTTGACAACTATTTTTGCATAGGTATTCAACACAACATTCGAATTGACCACGAGGTTTATCAATTGTCAGTCATAAGGCAGTAACCGAATTGCTGAGTTTATGCAATTACCTACTCCCTGAGATATTTTGTTACCTTTAACTAAGTAAGGTTTTTTTAAAAAAGTCAATGTCATTTAAATATGATCTACCTATTAAACTTCTTCACTAGAATCCAAAGCTCGGACATTGTGGAAAGGTATCTGCTTGTTATAGCCTCATCTTATTATTAAAGGGGCATGGAACATGTGTCTAGTGAAGGTAGATTAACAGGATTTCTATATTAATCAAACTCGCATTCTCCTTAATGTTGCAATATAAGGTAATAACAAAAAATTTTCCTATAAAATATAATGTGTAGGCCTTGACTACTTTTGGATGCCGAAACAAAATTCACTTGGTAGGGAAATTTGTGACGCAAACTCTTTATGACGTTAATAAAATTCGATACTCCCACCCGAGAGGCTCGATTGTTAAACTGGATAACTTTTTTCCACGTTTTTTTGGTCATCTAAAAGCTTAGACGTTTCATCTGAAAAGTATATTTTCTTTGGTGGGTGACGTTTCATGTGCTAATTAGAAAATCCATAATATACTATATTTTTTTAAAAAAATTGTTTATTTTTATACTTCGCTAAATAATATTTGTGTAATTATTAATGTATAACAAGGGAAATTGATGTGTGTTACACAGTGAATTAGACATGGATGCGTAAGATTTTCCATTACAGGAGTGTCTTAATGCAATGTTTTTGATTTTCAGAATTAACTATATTATGTGTATGTTTACTAGGCAAAGTATGATCTATTTATTGAAGTTACTGTAACCTAGAATATTTACTCTTGTTTATTCATTAAAAAAACAGTTTGGTATTCTGGTTTGCAATATTTGTTATACATTGTTATGTAGTATCAGGGGTCAGGGTTGGCACTAGAGTCACAGCACAATCCTTGACCTCGCGATACTTTCGGGCAGGGGTGTAAGACGGAAAAAAGGCGTGGATTTGGTTTAAGGGGAATTTTATTGGACAATAAGGACTAGATATGTGATGATTTTTTTAGTTCGAAGTCTTTTCTTTTATTAACGTCACTTCTTTATACTGTATACTTTCTTTACATAACACACAAATAATAAAAAAAATAAGAAAATAAAAGAAATAACAAAAATAACAAGTTGAAAGTAGTGGAAATAATATAATTATGTTATTTCCACTTAGTTTAGATTATAACTACTCAGGTATAATGTGTGAAGTGCAAAACTCATGTTATTCAAGTGATGGTTGAGTCATAAAACTTAAGTCATTTGAGTAATGGTTGGTTATTA